TTCAAAATAATGATTTTATGTACAAGAACTTTAATGTTTTGAATCAAATAAAAAACAATGACCTTCTGGAAATTTTAGCAAAAGCTTGTTTGAAAGCTGACAAAAAAATTCAAGCAGATTTTGAACAAATCATGGGTATTAAATTTACAGCGATCAAACAATTTCATGAATCCATAGAAAAAATTCCAGTTGATCTCTCCAATTACAATAGATGGTTGCCATATTTGTTTTGAATGCTCTAAAAATACTGATATTGAAAAACTCAAATCAATGCAATTAATTCTAATAAGCCCTGGTATTCATATCAATGTGTTAACTTATGAACAAACATTGAAGTTTTTGGAACAAATGCCAGCATTTATTCATTTGGGCCTTTCCAATATAAGTTCTGATCGATCTGTAAACTTAAATTATTTTCTACTTCAAAACGAAGATTATTCCCCTTTAAAAATTTCTACAATTTATTATTATATTGTATGACAAAATCGTATCCTTTGAATATTCAAAAGTATCAGATACGTTGTGGATGATTACTGTACCAAAAAACATGAAAAACATAAAATTACCCAAAGAGTTTTCAGGGAGGTTAAAATGGTACATTCAAATAACGAAAGTTGATCTCCCAGGACATCCTCTGCAAGATGAAATACAGGAAAAAATAAAGCATGATAATGAGATTGGTGATATCTTAACTTCATATCCCGGGAAATTTTATGTAAATTATAGCACAACGATAAGAAGTGATAGTTTATTCGTCAATGGAAATCCTATAGAATTTCTTATATATATTCCAAGCGAATCAGGAAATTTGGCGTTGGAGTGTAATTTAATTCACTTAGATGCTACTTTTTCATGGCCGAAATATATATTTATTTTTCCTCGTGGTAATTACTATATGCGAGGTTACCCTCTAGGGATATACATAGGGCGCAGCGAATCATCCGCTGCTTATCAACGGTGGCTTACAGCCATGAATATTGAATTTAAATCATTAAACATTATGGAGCACTTTTCAAGAATCAAATGGATGAGCGATTTAGGTACTGGAGTTTTAAAATTTTTGAATACGAATCATTTCCAAAATTATATCTGTATTAGGCACTATCTCGGAACCATGGGCAATAATACTTTACTACATGTTTTTGCTCTGATAGTATTATTATCAAAATCGGCCCAAGATTTTGAGGACAATTACAAATGTTTTGATCCATCGGTTCAGAAAATGTATGCTACAAAGAATATATCAGATGAGCAGCTGGAAAAATGGAAGCAGATATATAAAGATCAAGAGCATTTAGCAGCATACCACCGCATTCCACCTATAAGCACTAATAATAGTGCAGAGGGTAAGCATAGACACATTAACGAACTTGCAAAAAAAGCAAGAAACTTTTCTACTTTCATCAAATTCATTCTGAATGATACTATCATTAGGATTAATGAATCAATTGATCCCATTAATAAGCAAAAACGCGAGAAGAATGACTTGTTAAACGAAAAATGCATACATTGCGGATTCTCCTATAATGATATTAATACTGATAAGAATCCTTGTAAATATTGCAAGGATTTCTTTATGAATAAGAGTCATGTTCCCTCTGCAGGCATACATGTTATGAAAATAGGAGAAAACGTAGGTGAAATCATAGAATTCCCAATCGATAAAAATGTAGGTGATCAGGATGAACTCGTGGATCACAAAGAAAAGAGTTCGCCGATCGAAATATCAAAATACGCAGAATTTATTGATATTGACGATAAAAATAAAGCAGTTTTAGTCGTAAAACTGCTTTATAATCTTGAAACGTTCCAAGATGCCAAAGATTTAATCAATTCTCTGGAAAAACAATCAAAAAATTATGAATCTGCATTACAAAATAAACCAGAAATTTGGTTGGAAAAATACTTGCCTGAATTAATGAAGGAAGTAAAAGATGCGAGAGCTGCTAGAATGAGATTGAAGATAATAAAGAAGTAGAGATGATGAGTGAATAAAAACTTTGTATTAAATTTGTATATAAAAGAATTGTAAAATATAAAAATAAAGAAGTGGTTGATAGGAATTTGAAAATTCGTTGGGTGCATATAAGTTTGATAAATATATTTATGAATATTAATGTCAAATTGGGTGGTTGCATATAGTAATGAAAATAAGATTAATAAAAATTAATGTCAAATTGGGTGGTTGCGTGATAGAATGCTTCTGTCTATGTGTGGCGTGAGTTAGCATCGGGTGGTTGCGTGATAGAATGCTTCTGTCTATGTGTGGCGTGAGTTAGCATCGGGTGGTTGCGTGATAGAATGCTTCTGTCTATGTGTGGCGTGAGTTAGCATCGGGTGGTTTCATCACAAATTTTAACCCATCCAAATCTTATTAATTATTAAAATTCTTTTACAATTTCTGATGTATTTTTTGAAAACATTTCATATGCAATATTTCTCCTTTTCTTTCCTCAAATCTTCAAATATTAATAACTTTGGATATGAAATTATTTGGATCTTTTATGAATTTTAAATGTCTTTCTTAATATCAAATCGATTAAATTATTAATATTTTCTAAATTATGCCTTAAAAATCCAAATATAAAAAATCGTAAATAAAAAATATATTTTTTATTTTTATTTTGTAAATAATCCGTTTACTAAATGGGACTGTATCATGAAAGTAACAAAAATCATTATTTAACAAGATTCAAAACTGGTGCAACGAAATGCACATTGATTTTGTAGTGTAACAAAGAGAGATTTATTGTAAAAAGTACAAAATAGTATATTTATTATCGTGATTAGCGTAGAAATGTATGAGTTTGGGACGGATTTCTGGTGCATTCATAACTAAAGTGATACATTGTCTGGAGCAAGTTCAGATCTTTAACTTATGGCTTGTTTGGTGCTAACTCACCCAATTTAAGTGCACTAGAGGGGATTTTGTCTGTAATGAGCATGCACCTTGAGTTGTTGCTTGGTCCGTGTACAAAAGATAGTAATTTAATACTATACTCGATTAAATGTGAATTTCTAATTTTGAATTTGCGTTTTTTCCTGAAAATAGTTACAATATATGAAAGAGTTGGCAAAACTAGAGGACACGTCTTTAAGGGTTTGGCTCGTGCTTCATGTTAATATGCCGAAACTAAAATAAACGTATATTGGGGGTCGAAAATTGAGAGCTCATATCTTTAAGTGTTTTGCTAATTGTCGTCAAAAATTAGGCGTAAAGCAAAAATTGATATTTCATATGGTTTTATGATAGATAAGCATTATATTCCCACTCATTATATTCGTAAATTTTGAGGTTTATCCTTCGCTTTTAAGATCATTGAATTTGATTTTTATATAAAATAGTTATATATTAGAAAATAATATGAGTTTATGTGATATTATTTTTCAGAAGATTTTGTGTTCTTCTTCAAAATTTTATTTTTTTATTAAAAAGAATCTTTACAAAATATACATTTACTTTAATTAATATTTAAAAACGTGCTCTATCAAAAGTTCCAAAAATTCAATATTTTAGCTTTTCTGAGGTGTCACTTTTGATGAATTTCTGTTTACAACACTTTTATTTCGAAAAAGTAGCAATAATCGTAAAAGGGTATTGATAGGCTTGCTAAAGTAACTAATTTTAGCTGTCAAATACTTTTGTATTTTGAAGTAAATTAGTATAAATTTGTTTTTACTTTTATTTCGAAAAAGTAGCAATAATCGTAAAAGGGTATTGATAGGCTTGCTAAAGTAACTAATTTTAGCTGTCAAATACTTTTGTATTTTGAAGTAAATTAGTATAAATTTGTTTTTACTTTTATTTCGAAAAAGTAGCAATAATCGTAAAAGGGTATTGATAGGCTTGCTAAAGTAACTAATTTTAGCTGTCAAATACTTTTGTATTTTGAAGTAAATTAGTATAAATTTGTTTTTACTTTTATTTCGAAAAAGTAGCAATAATCGTAAAAGGGTATTGATAGGCTTGCTAAAGTAACTAATTTTAGCTGTCAAATACTTTTGTATTTTGAAGTAAATTAGTATAAATTTGTTTTTACTTTTATTTCGAAAAAGTAGCAATAATCGTAAAAGGGTATTGATAGGCTTGCTAAAGTAACTAATTTTAGCTGTCAAATACTTTTGTATTTTGAAGTAAATTAGTATAAATTTTATATTATTTTAACTCCCTTTGAAAACCTCAATTTTCCATACAGAGGGAACAGGAATAGCATCCAATATTCCCTGAGAATGGTTGCGCATTCTCAATTCCCTCTATATTTCGAACGAAGCTCTCATCGGTCTTTTTTTTAATACTAAACGTTTTTTTCCCTGTCACTTTTAGCTAAAATTTGGGTTTGCCTCAATGCATGTATTTGATTTTTTTTAATTTCTTTCATCGAAGAGTCATATTTTTTTCCTATAGAATATATTTGTTATCATTATATATGCTTACTTTGAGAATGAGTGTTAATTTCAAGAAATCTCGGAATTTTTCAACTCTAGTTTATAAACATTTTTTTTGATTAATTGTTTTATAAAATGAACAACATTCACTAGATATTAAAAACAACATGGAAAATGTGAAAATGAAACAAAGTTCAATTGCGTCTATGATCTATTTTTGATTTAATTGAAATAAATTACAGATCAACTTAATAATCTTCAATCAAAGATTACTGACGAGACAATACATTGCCAAGATACAGTTATAACAGACCTTAATAGAATAATCAATTGTTATTTAACGCGAAATAATAGAAGCAATTTTTTTTCTGTGAGATTCATGAAATCTTCGATAATAAGACTTGTGAGCCCAATATTATAGGGCACTACTTAATATTAGTAATTAATGCCTTACTTCTTGTTAAATTAAGTCTAATGAAGGTCAGTTCAAACTTATTTGTTTAAATCCAAATAATTCAACCACAATTTATTTAATTCTTAACTAAAATAGTTGGTTGGTCTTAAAAATTTATTTTTAAATAGAAAAATTATCTTTATTTACTAATATTAACAAATTATATCGAAGGTTTTGGTAAAATAAATGTCAAAAACATCGCAATGATAATACCTACGTTAATAGCAAAAGTCATTAAATATCCAGCCAGTTTCTTCTTCTCGCTGTCTAGATCTGGATGATTTGAACCATAAATCATCAAAATCGTGCCAACATAACCATTTGTTAACGCAAATGGAATCTGTAGGGCCAATGTGAACCATGGCTCTCTAAAATTAACAATTTTTTGAATCGAAATTATTTCTAATGGAATAAAAATGATTCTAAAGACAGATGCAAGCGGCGACATATTGAGAGAAGGCCAAATAAACTTCGAAGCAACAAATCTGCCAATGAAATCAAAGATACAGAAGACAGTTGTGATTAAAACAGGAGTCCATGATTTTAATGGACCTTCTGGACCGGAACAAACATATCCAGGGAATATTATCAATGTTATGAAGTAAGTCAATGCTTCAGCAATCCATAAAAGCCAAATCGATTTTAATGTTGTAAAAATTTGAGAAATAAAAGCGGTATTTTCTTTCTGGTAAGAATTGAAGATGAATCTGTTTGATATATCAGGATTTCGAAGCTTTAAAATGAAAAAGATTAGTGTACCGAGAATTGTTAAAGCAGCTAAGGCAAAATATACTATTGAACTTATTTTAAGCTGGCTTTCGGACGAGAATAAACCTTTCGTAATAATTCTAGCAACAGCAGCAAGGATTCCACATAATCCATTTCCAGCTGAAATAAAACCAGCTGTTTCATCAGCAAACTGTGTGGAAACTGCAAATGATCCGGACATAATAATTGATGAAAATACACCAGAAACTGTAATTGCAGCAATAGTTCCCCAATAAACTACGCTTTCTGACATTGGAATTATAATTAGTAATGGGAATGCTAAAAGATCGAAGAACAAAACAAGTAAACTGATAATAAAGAGAATTTTTTGGTTTGGAATTTTAATGAAACATAAAACTAAAGCAATTAAAGAACAAGGGAAGTTGTATGCTCTTGCTAAGTCATTTCCGACGCTTTTTCTATGAGATAAATGAATGTAAATATCAATTGCATTGATAACAACGTTATATACAAGCAAAGAAGCATTTCCAAGCCAAAAGAACAAGGCACCTTGAGGATCTGGCGTCATTTCGGAGTAATCTGATATGAGTATATCTTTTTCTTCTAAAAGTTGTCGATTATCCAGAAGCGTCATAAAATATTTATGGTCAAATTTATATTTTCAAAATGGGAAATACATACAAACACATATTTGTTAATTTTTCACAATTTGTTAAGGATAAGATGCTTATCTTGCTCAATTTGATTAATTTTAGCTGATAATGATTATTGATGACTAAGAATTGACACTAACTTAAGATCAATAATTATTGGTGGTTTTTATCATCTATCCACATTCATTGTATATTTCAAATTGCAAATTAGTTTCAGGAATAAATATGATCAATTTCTTGACCATCAACTCAACATAATCAGCATATTTAATGATGTATGTTGAATTGTAATGAATTTTAGCATTCATAATTTAATTTTTTGTAAATTTGTTTCTTTTCGTGATTGCATCATTGCTGAACATCGATTCAACAATATCATAAAAGATAAATTAATAATATTGATTTGTCAGGCGGTCAATTGCATAATATGAGCTTTCTGGTGTATTTTTTTTTCAATTTATTTTGTTAATTTGAATTCCATCTCAATAGTCTCAAAATTGAGAAGTGTAAACTAGATTACTATCTAATAATGTAAAAGGCCATTGCATACATTATATAGCATTATCTCAAAAATTTTTTACAATGTGGATCCCTATGATAATTGAGTTTTCTGAATGAATGCGAGATCATTTGACAAATAATTTGGATCAATGATTCAATGCATTTCATGTATTAATTTAATAAGGATTAAAACATTCTAATCCTTAAAGCGATATTAATCTGAACACATTCAAAAATTGAATGAATAAAATTATGTGTTTTTCCATCATTTGACTGATATTTTAAAAATTCATTGAAAAATTAAAACCAATACTATTAATCAGTTTTATTAATGGTCAAGACTGTTTGCATAACAGGTTCCACTGGTGTCATGGGAATGGAAACCTTGAATCAGATATTAACACTTGGAGACAAAGTCAAAGTTCAATTACTTGTCTTAAACGATCAAAAGAACAGAAACATCATCAAGAAGTATGAAAAGCTTGAGAATGTTAGCATTGTTTATGGAGATCTCAGGAACTATGATGATGTTTTGAAAGCTGTCACAGGAAGCGACTATGTTTTACATATTGGTGGCATGGTTTCACCATATGCTGATGATAAACCAGAGTTAACAAAAGATATCAATGTCCACGGAGCTGAAAATGTAGTTTGCGCTATCCAAGCTCAGAAGAACAAAGATGATATCAAAGTTGTATATATTGGAAGCGTTGCAGAAACTGGAGATAGGAACTACCCAATTCATTGGGGAAGAACAGGAGATCCCATCAAAGTATCGGTTTTCGATCATTATGGAGTATCAAAAGTTCTTGCAGAACGTGTTTTTGTTGAGAGCGGACTCAAGAAGTGGGTTGTCATGAGACAAAGTGGTATTCTTCATGCAGGATTACTTGAAAAGATGGAGCCAATCATGTATCATGTTCCATTAAATGGTGTTCTTGAGTGGTGCACCGTAGAAGATAGCGGACGCTTGATGAAGAACTTTGTCGATTTTGATCTACCTGATAGTTTCTTCAGAAACTTCTACAACATTGGAAGTGGAGAGTTCTACAGATTAACCAATTTTGAATTCGAGTCCTTGCTTCTTCATTCAATCGGAATGGGAGACATACGTGGTCTCTTTAAACCAAACTGGTTTGCAACACGCAACTTCCATGGCCAATATTATATTGATAGTGACAAACTTGAATCGTTCTTGAAGTTCAGAGCTAATATTGAAACAGAAGTATATTTTGACATGTTGTCTAAGAAAGCAAAGATTGTTTTCACTCTTCCAAAGCTTATACCATTTAAAGATGCAATCTCTATTATGGGACAGCCTTTCATGAAGATGATTGCCAAAGATAAAAACTTTGGAACATTGGGATGGGTAAATACAAAGTATACCGATAGAATGGATGCTCACTATGGAGGCATGGAAGAGTTTAATAAAATTCCATCATCTTGGGGAGATTTTGCTATCAAACATTATGAAACAAAGTTCAATCCAAACAAAGATAAAAAGTTTGATCATGGATATGATGAAAGTAAACCATTTGAAGAGTTAACAATCGATGATTTGAGAAATGCAGCAGAGTTCAGGGGAGGTTCTCTTGTTAGCGATCGTTTTATCGATGTGTACTCTAAAGTTACATGGAAGTGTGGACATTGTCACAAAGATTTCGAAGCATCACCAACACTTATCTTGAAAGGAGGCCATTGGTGCCCTTACTGCTACATTCCAGAGACTTCTTGGCAATATGATTCTATTGCAAAGTCTAATAAGTTCTTTGCTCAAGGATGGAATTTCAGCTACAAAGAAGTTAAAGACAAAAAGTATGATTTCAACGAATGCTTTGATAGAAAGTGCTTCGATTCATTCCAAAACTCAGCTAAAAGCTCAAATTTGATTTACTACTTACTTATTTCTTTTGCAATCCTGTTATTGTTAGTTTGTTTAATTGCATTTGCATAAAATTCTTTATATTCACTTTCATGCTTTTTTATCATAATCTCATTAGTGAAAGATTCATTTGCAGTAAGCTTATGATTTTGTCAAACTCCCTATGCAATTCTATTGTATTTCTAATGATTTTGAGAATACATTGAAATTCTTTCAAATGTGTATCACAAAAATATCCATAATGCTATTATCAAATCGGTATCACCATTACTCTCTTAAATTTACCATTTTACCAGGATTTGAGTAATGCCGAACATGTTTTGAATGAATATTATTAAGGGCATCTGGAGTTTTAGTTTTAATTATTTTTTTTACTTGGATGTCTTAAAAAGAACTCGTGGGAAGAACGGTGTTATATATTTTTAAACTTTTGTTGCTTCTTGATATCATCTTCAAATCTATTTTCTGTATATTTAGAAAATTTAATAATCTAGTTTTGAAATTTGTTTATTTTGATCTCGTACAACAATACCGATTTCATATGTTCCAGGTGTGATATTACTTGGAATTGGAATTTCGTAGTTAAATTGGTATGGATTTACTTGGATGTTTGTTTTGTTTATAATATTGCAACTTTTGCTATTGTCAATAGTGTGGTTTAAGATAACATCTGTATTTTTGATAATATCTTTAACTTTAAGAGTGAATCGAAGAGTTTTATCTCTATTTATATAAATTTGGGAATTTGGTGATTTCAAAATCTAAAGGATTGGAACTGAGTAAATTATATTAAAGAAGTAAGTACTATATGAACAGTAGCTCATTTGGTTGCAAGCTTCAACTGATAAATTGTGATAACCAACTTTGAAAAAATCTGGGATCGTAAAATCAAGATTGAATCTATATTTACTGGAATCAGCAATATTTATTTTTTGAGATTTACTTAAACTACTAAATCAGCAATCAAGATATCCAGGAATATTTATGTAACTACTTGCATTACTATTAGAAACATTTCCTGTAACAATAAGATTTAAATCTTTTTTATATTTTAGAACAGTTGGAACGAAAATATCATTAATAGTTGGTAGCCGCTCAATGCCTTTAGGAAGTAATCTCCTTGATTCAAAGGTATTACTGCATGGTTCAAAATTACATTCATGAACTTATTTCTCTTGGCTGCTGAAATCATTGTTGAATAATTTACCTGGGAATGTTAATATCGAATTTATAATCATAATTACATTTAACAACCGATATACTACATGTTTTTCTTAGTATGCCAATCCATACATCAATAGAAATGGTCATACTTTCATATTAAAAATTGATAATGATTCAAAAAATTCGGAGCTTGAAAGCACTAATCTATAGTTTAGGCCTTGAACGGTAAAACAAGACAATATACTCATACTTGAAAAGGTTATGCAATGATGTAAATGAGAAAAAATCAAAATTTACAATTTCAAAATTTTGATTTTGGTTTAATGAATGTAGTTATAGTAAATTTTCTTAATTAGGAGGGAAGATATTCATAAAACCGAATTATATTGAATAAAATATCCTTTCTAAAATAACGAATCCCGCCATAAATGCAAAACATAGTGATAAGTAATAATAAATACTAAAATTTAAAATAGCAAAAAGAATATAGATAATAAAATATAGAAATAAGGTCAATTATTTTTTGAATGTAATTTTGAACGAAAATGTAACTTCGTTTGAATCCGAAGATTTGCTTGTAGATATTTCGATGTTTTTCGGCTGGTCGTAAAGTACTTTTGAGTCATCCGCATTAATAGTTATTGGAATAGTTATATTTGGTGCCACTTCGACGGCCTGATGCCCCCATTCAGGAGGTTTTGGTGGCTCTGGAGGCAGAGGATTTCTATCAACTGTCTCATGTGGCTGTATACGTGTTCTTTCTCTGAATTTTTCTGGGATCTTAGGTGGTTTGATATCAGGATTCTTTTCTTCATCTTCATCAGACTCGCCATCCGACTCGGACCGAAGCTGAGCCTTATTCTCTGCCTCTTTTTTCATCCTGATTAACTCTTGCTCTTTAAAGATTTTCTTATTTACGTTGTTTTTGAGTAAAATTCTGTCGATGCTGTCGATTGTTTCTGTCATATCGTAATCAGGATAAAAGATTGTGTAAGTGCCGTCCTGAATGTTGAGAATTTCCGCCCGATAAATGTCGTATTTGTTTTCATCGATTATAAAGATCTCTTGCCCGACATGAAGGTTCGGGTTTTGTGTATAAGCGAACTTGGGGAAATGATTCGGCATTTTTGAAAAAAAACCGCCATAAATTCAATCTTAATATGCTCATTTAAAGGTACAATCACGAGATTTCCAAACGAGGGCGCGTAAAGGGTTGGCGTCCTAAGGCGTCCTGATGTAAACTATTCAATTTTTGAGAAGTTTACACCATAATTGAATAGTTTATGGCGTCCTGAGAGGAGATTTCAATGGGTATGGCGTCCTAAAAAATAGAAGAAAATGATTTTTTCTCGATTTTTCTAGAAATTGAATTTTTAAAAAAAGAAAAAAATCAAAACGTATACAAAAAAAGGTAGTGGGGCTTCCAGGCGCGTTGCGCCCTCTAGCCCTGAAGATGTTTAGTATAAATGAAGTTTATATTCGGAGGGCTTCCAGGCGCGTTGCGCCCTCTAGCCCCGAAGATGTTTAGTATAAATGAAGTTTTTATTCGGAGGGCTTCCAGGCGCGTTGCGCCCTCTAGCCCCGAAGATGTTTAGTATAAATGAAGTTTTTATTCGGAAAATTGTTAGTCTTCTGGGTCGAAAACATTATATAATGTGTCGCTTTTCACAAATTATATATGTTTTCATGTTTTGTCATTTTTCTGTCACTTTTCAGGTAAAAACATTTTTATTATTATATATAAATGAATTTTACAAAACCGCCGTTACCGTTCTTTGGAAATAAGAGTAGATGTAAAGATATTATATTGAGAGAACTTAAGAAACTACCGAATGGTCTAACATTTGTAGATTTGTTCGGTGGAAGTTTCTATATATCCCATTTATGTCATACCGTATTTCCTGACTCAAAGATTATATGCAATGACTTCGACAACTATATGGACCGTCTCAAACATATACCAGACACAAACAATATATTGAAAGAGTTAAAAGAAAAGATACCTATAGGTAAGATGGAACGTATACCATTAGATAAGAAAAATATTGTGAGAGAGGTTTTGAAAAAAGCAGAATATATAGACTGGATAGTATATCTGCTAGACTATTATATAGTGGTGCTATAAGAGTTCATGACATTGAAACACTTATGTCAAAAGTTTTATATCTTAACTATACAAATGTTTTCAAAGAGGACATAGAAAAATATATTGAGGGTATAGAGTTTGTGAGATGTCATTGGACAGAGTTGTATGAAAATATAAAGACAAGGAAAATGTTTTCTTTATAGTGGACCCGCCGTTCTATAACACATGGGATTTTCAATACCAAGTAGACTGGACTTTGAGAGACTTTTAGAAACTTTAGACGTTATACATAACCATCCATGCTTTTACTTTACATCCGATAAAAGTGGTTTGGAAACCGTTATGAGATGGTTAGAGGACATACATGACTATGAGTTATATATGACAAGATAGAATATGAGAGAGGTCCTATAAACCGGAGAAAGTGTCACAATAAAGAAATTTTATTAGTAAGTAAATGTGGTTTGAAATCGGATTGTTAGTTTTAGGTTTTTTCCATTGTGTCATTTATTTATTTGACGTGGCAGAAAAGTACAGAGAATATGAAGATGAACCAATGCCTGCAAATGTTCAGTATATGTACTCGTAAGAGATATTTTTTATCTAATATTAATGGACGCACAGAACTTAGCGAATGCACAGCAACCTGGACAACCAAACCCAGAGAATATTCCAATGAAGTTAGAATACAAACTGCAATGGCAAAATATGGTCAAGTGCCAACAGATGTACAAATGCAAACTGCCATGTCAAATGACGCTGCGTTAGGTTTGCCACCATGGTATGCAAATATGAGATGGAAAGAGTTTTATACAAACCTGAAGTGGATATAAACAACTTTTGCAGATGACGCGAACACAGGAGTTGACCCAAATATGTTTTTACCAGAGGAGAAACAGAATGTATGAGCTCCAGTTAAAGATGCTATGGAACTCACAGGAAACGTAAGAGACTAGGCGCGACATTAGAATTTTTTACATATAGTAAAAATGGGTTTTTAGTAGTATTGGAAACTTCTTCAGAAGAGTTGGAAGAGGTTATGGAATGGCGTCAAAAATAGGAAAAGGAATTTGGAACGGTGTCAAAAATATTGGTAAAAGAGTAGGTCAGTTCGTTGGTATTATAACCTAAAGACCCTGAACCAGAAGAAAAGCTCCTGTTATACAACAGCCTGAACCTGCACCACAGTCTAGTTGGCAAACCAAATCCAACACTCAACCGTATTAAAAAATTATATTTTATCGTTCGATAGTAGTTGTATATGAAACTAAGTTTAAGTAAAACGCATGGTATATGGAATTATTCTTTTTTTCCATCTGTAGTAAACCATACTTGAAAGTCTGAAATACTTCACTTGGTGGTTCGTATAACTTTGTAGGTTTTTCGTAAAAGTCATTTGCCAAGCATAAGAAAGAGTTTTGGGCGCCATAAAATGAAGCATGAACAATAATAGCATCTTGGTCGAAAATATTTTCATATGTTCCATTAGGGTTTTCGACTTCATAATAGTCCGGGTGTACTGGATATGCTGCAGGCTGATTTAACATCCTCATAAATCTATACCATGCCAAGTTGTTATATTTTGTAGAAATATAAACGTTTTTCTCCAAGGTCTTCTATTTTATTGATTTTAACAGTTTGCATTTTTCCTGTCATAAATAATATCGAGATGGTATTCTCCTTCGTCAATGTTAAATGGTTTGCATATTCAATATAGATATCGTTTATTTTTTTTTGAAAAGCTTGAAGGTTGTTTCTAAGTTTATAAGCAAACTAACTTGTAAAAGTTTTCCCTGTTCAAATTTCTCATACATACGTTTTTCTTTGTTATAGTATCGAACTTCAAAACCGACCGTAAATGGGAAACCATGTATGGCTTCTGAAATGAACTTCATTCTACGAAAGCCAATAGCTTTTGTGACGGATGGGTCTCTTAACCATCTTAATGGGTAGTCAAAAGATAGCCTTCATGCTTTACGGTATCTGTCTCAAACTTTTGACCGACATTAGTAAAAAGTTCATCTAATGGTTAGTTGTTAGCAACTCTATGAATTTTCTTTTTCTATTGGAAGCATATTTTATCTATAATAAAAATGTCGAAGATATTGCTTCCATAGAGAAATACAACACAACCGACAACTCATTATGCAAGCTCTAAATAAGAACACAACAAACTTTCAAACTATTCTAAGATATCTGAGTCATTGAAAGAAGGAAACTTAAAACTGACAATAAACCCAATGACAGATGAGTTTTGTTTCAAGACAATAAGAACAATACTGTCTGTATAAATCCAACAAAAGGAACTTTAAACGAGAAACCTATAAATGAACTTCTTTTGAAAGCAGATGTTGACAACAAAGCTGACAAAAGAATATGTAGACGATGCAATAGCAAAAGAAGAAGAAAGAGCTAACAATGCTTGCAACAAAAGAACATACTCATCCTGAACTAGCAGACAAAACATATGTTGACAATAAAATGTCAAGTGAAGTGACAAGAGCTGAAAACGAATATTTAAAAACTCATATACATTATATTAACAAATACCAAGTCTTAAGGAAACATTAGAGACAAAAGCAGATAAGACTCATACACATTCTATATCTGATATTACAAACTTACAAGAAACTTAAACAGGAAAAGTGCCGTTGGACATACACATACCATTGCAAATATTACAAACTTACAAGAAACCTTAAACAGGAAAAGTGCCGTTGGACATACACATACCATTGCAAATTTCAACTTACAAGAAACCTTAAACAGGAAAAGTGCCGTTGGACATACACATACCATTGCAAATATTTACAAACTTACAAGAAACCTTAAACAGGAAAAGTGCCGTTGGACATACACATACATCTTCTGAAATAACAGATTAAAGTTAGCCTTGAAAATAAAGCAGATAAAACATATGTTCAATGAAATATACCAAAGTTTGATAGGAACAAAAATATTGAAACTATTGTTGGTGACTTTTCTGTCAATGAAGAAAATAAATATTTTAGATGGCAGTTGGTACAGTCCTTAAAAAATGGTACACGGCATAAACTCATTCCGAAAAATAACAATGAAATGTATGTAAGCTATAAAAAGAATGATGGTACACAAGTTAAAGTTCCATTAGACAACAACTGCTACTTAAACTTATATGGAGACGAACAAAAGAAATATTTAAGAGTTTATGAAATGGCAGATATGACATTGCCTGACCCAGCTCCGGTACCACATTATTATGACTATGGAGATGACGACAGAACACCACATGTAGATGAACAAAAGCTAACATTATATTTATATTATTATAGATATAAAAGATATAATGCAATAGAAAAAACGAGAATAGTATATTATTATACAGATGACAGAAATAAATATTATAGTCAAGATTTTACCTACCCTGAAAACATAAGATTATATTATAAAAAATATTCTGACACAAACCAGAAGAAACCTGAAATAGTTGCACTATATTTTAAGTTCAAAAGAGACAATCCTATAATATCTCATATGTTTGATTTAATGAACCCAGTAGGTTCTATTTATACATCTATGGATGCAAGAGGTCCTCAAGTAATGTTTGGTGTTGGTGCATGGGAACAAATAGTCGACATGTTTTTGTATTGTGCAAACTCTTCAAAGGAAGCAGGTGGAAGTAAAACGATTTCAGGTGAAAATTTACCTGCACACAGTCATTACATAGATTTAAGTACATCTCAAGCAGGTTGGCATAAGCATAGATATTGGGATTGGTCAGGAATGACAAAAGGTAAAGGATATGATGTTAAAGACGACGTTAAGTTTGCTATAAATTGTTACTGGAGTGACACTCAGGGAGAAGGAAACCATACACATTTCGTTTCAGGATATACACAAACAACGGGACAAAGTAAAGAATACATGCCACCTTACATGACAGTTTACGCATGGTATATAATTGCTTAGTCGTCATTTTCAACTTCTTTAGCATATTCGTCAGGAGTTGTCTTATATTTGTTAGGAACTGTCTTTGAAAGTATACCACCTTGAACTTTGA